CACGTCTTAATTTACCAGGCTCAGCGATGGCCCCTCGGCGGGACGTCCCCACAGCTTCCCCTCAGCGCCCCACTTTAGCCACCCTGGACAGCTCGCTGTCCTCTTCGCGCTCCGCTCCACCCCCTCGCGGCACGGCCCTGAAGTCCCTCCGCAACTCACGGCAGCATCTCCGGCCCAACCAGCGGGCTTCACCTTTCTCACCCACGCCCCCCCCCCCACGATTGTTGGGGGTGGTTAGAACGGGAGGGACGCTCTACCTAGTCCGAGCCCTTCCCAGCCAATAGCATCGGGCTTTCAGAACTCGACACACAGACCCACACACACCCTCCTCCGCGAGTGACGAGAAAAACGGCTGTCTACGAGCTCGCGCCCCACAGCGCACGCGCCCAGTTCAGACAGCCTCTTCGTAAGTTCTACGAAGCCTCGGCACCATGGAGCGTTGCCTTACCCTACTAGCATTTTTCGCATAGTCCAATGAAATGGGAGTGAGGGGGAGGGGTTTATTTGGGCCTCGCCTTCTCTTTTTCCGCCCTGGCTGGTGGGTGGTCACGTGGGCATTCACTTGGCTCGGGATTGGCTTCGTGGAGGATGGAGGCGCGGAGGGATTTGTCTCTTTTCCGTCCATCCTTTCTTTTCCCAGTCTGAGGGGGAGGTATCTGAGCAACTGGTTGAGTCTTTGTGTCGACGAAGAGGGCGCTCGTGTAGGTCGTAATATGGAATCTGTACAAAAGGCGCTGGGAGAAGTTGAGGCACCTCTTTTAAAGTTTATTGTGGGTGTGCCCGTACATGACGGGTGGAGGTACTCACGGGTATATAAACACGCTGCGCGATTTTGAGGAGAGATTCGTGCAACAAGGGCACAGTGCAGTTATCCTGGTTGAGAATCCTGCGGGGTTGGGAGTCTGGTGCAAAGTTGAGGTGCTGCTTTTTTGATTGGGAAAAATGTCTCTTATGTAGCAGTATAATTCCTAGATGCACGTTCACCAAGATAAGGAAGGGGAGCTTCCACGTCTAGATGAAGTAAATCTCTGAATACCAAAAGGCAACATCAGGGGAAGACCTTGATGTTTGTTGGCACTCCGCTGGCCGCCCTGTGGAAGAGGATGCTAAACTAGATTAAACCACTGGTCTGATCCCTCAGGGCACCTCATGCTTTTATAATATATACTTTATGCTCCAAGATATCATTATCTACAAAGTTCATATAAACCATTGAACTCCCGGTCTATACCCTTGCCTTGAATAAGTCGGCCAACCACTTATGAGATTGCTAGATCCAAACCCACCCACCCCTGAAGATTTCCATAGTGAACCTCTGTCTTTAAATTAGTTTGAGGAATGTTCAGTAAAGTTCCTATGGGCAGGATAAGGAGGGACAGTGCATGATAATTATAGCTAACTCTGCCATAGGTCTGAATAAATTGGCCGTAGTTCCGAATAAATTCATATTTTTTCAGGGCTTGAGGATGGAGCACACCCATATACTTCTCTTGGCATGTGCTCATCAGAGTGTATGTTGCCAGACACTTGAAACAGTGACAGCACATTTGACACATGGGAGTAGCGTGAATAGGAAGGCACTCAGCACATTTTTAGAGACTTGAGTACCCAGTGGCCTCCAATCCTCATCACTGTATAGGTCATGCAGCTAAATAATGAAGCTGTGAAGCGTCTTTTATGTGTGTTATGTTTACCTCTTTGGATGTATTGATACTAAGGGTACAATGTCAACCGCTTAAAATATCCAGCCTTGCTTTCCTATACTTGGTCTAATGTAAGTATTTTACAAGGGTCTAATCTTTGAGGTCAGGACCCCCACTGCTGACATATGGCAATTTGTTGTTTCAGCAGAGGGATGCTTAGGAGCACAGCAAAAAAGGTTATTTAGGCAAGAGAAGGTGTGGAAAGAAGGCAGACTCTCTACCCTATTCCCCTAGGTCCACACGTTTGGTTCACATCTTGAAATGCTAGCTCAGTCTTGCCCTAGCTAGGAGCTGTAGAAAAGAATTCTTCCTTTTAAAGGCAAAAGGATTAGAGCAATCCAGATCTGCTTTGCTTGCCTTACACGGGATGCTTCAGAAAACATTGCAACGCAGGCTTCTGCTTGTGTTGCTGCAGTTGCTGAAAATGATAGGATCAGGCTGTACGCACGTTTCTTCCTTAACCATTCCTTCATTTTGTCATTGGGCATACAGATAAACCCAGATCAGGTAGAGATGAGCTTTTGGTTTCAACAAGGTTCCTTGCAAAAGGATTCTAATTAAGACTAGAATTTGCAAAGAGATCATTATAATAAATTCCTTTGGGAGATTTTCAAATGTTGGTAGGAATATATGATAACCTAAGAAACATGCCTAGAAATTACTAATCAAATATGCAATTTGATTACTAATCAAATATGCAATTTGAAATTACTAATGCAAATATTTTCTCTTGATCTTGGAAAGTAGTCCCAAATGGTGGCCATGAATAAATAAATAATTAGCATGTATCTTCCCTTATAGATAATTAAAAGTCTCCACAATGTGGCCAGAATAAACGTATTTATGACATTAAAGGCATCAAATGTTAAGAAATTCGAGACCCAGTTCCAAATATTTCTTTATGAGTACTGGGGTAAACAAAAGTTAAGTGGAACTAGGTTCAATTTGACATTCACACTAGGATCTGGAAAATGTTGGTTTGTTACTTTATATTCCCTTTGTGATCTTGCACAACAAGATCACAATACAGGATGAAGGCAGAATAATACATAGCAAGGTGTACGGTTGCAGTTAAAAAGATACTGTGCTCTCCAGGTTTGTATGTTCAATATAGGGTTACACCTGATGTAAGTTAATATCTAGGATCTTGTTTGGTGTCTAAATTCTGGTGGAGGACAACAGAATGCCTCGTAAGAATTGCTGTAACTGTACTGGTTGTCTAGAAAATTAGCCAAACATTTGCCTGTGGTACGTAAGTATAAATACGGGAGCATTGTTGATTTAACTATTTCTGTTTTTTGTATGTGTATAAGAATAATGAAATACAAAGAATGTTTTGTGCAAGCAAAGTTGTATGCTGAAAGAGTCTATAAAAAACAAACAGCCACCTTGAAAGAAAGGTTTTGAGCATGGTATTTAATGGTATTTATTCATGATTTCCTGTTGTTTATATCCAGTTACCAGAAGTTTAACCTTACCTCAAAGCTGTTCAGAGTTTAACTGTATATATAAATAACAAAGCATTAAATGTTTCTGAGAAGTTTATATTAATTAAATATAACATTTCTAGTTGAATTCTAAACATGGTGACAGAGTTAAGTGCTATTATGGAATGTACTTCCTAAGTATGCTTAGGACTGTTGCCATTATTGTTCGTTCAGGAAAAAGAAGCTAAATTTAAAGAACTACATTATGGGTCATCTTTAACTACAAAAAATATGAATAATGCCATGTAAAGCAAATGGTATTTGTGAAAGTTATCTGAAAAGCATAACTTAAACTTAAGGAATTTTATATTTATATCCCCACTTGTTTTCTGAATATAAAATTGGATCCAGCCACCTTTTCCATTCAGTTTTATCTAATTCTCCTCTTTCCTATAGTCCCCATCCAATGTGGCTTTTGTCCATATAGGTTCCATGATGACGAGCATAACTTTTGGTGATCAAATGGGACCCTCCCTTCCCTTTTTCACCAGCAGATCCAACCCACTGTCTTTAGCAAAGAGATGCATATGTTGGCCATCTAACCAGTCTAAAAGATTTGATCATTTGACTGGTCAAATCTTTTCATATCGTCTGTTATTTTTGCAGCATTAACTTTATTACAACAACAAAAATACTTCAATCATCAACCGATTTCATTATATTAATTATAAAAACAAATTTTGTTATACTAATTATAAAAACCAAATTAATTGTTTTTGTGAGTGCAATTAACATTTAAAGATTGTAATGAATGTATAAATTTTAACAGTGTTTGGTAAGCTTTATACAAATATGAACAATTGACTGTACAGTTCTCCTAGGCTTTGATTCTAGAATATCAGGATTCACCTGCAGTTTCATCTTTGAAAACAAAATGAAAAAGAAATAAAGCTAAGTAATGGCAGTTAAAAAGATGTGCTGAGTAGGCAGCAGTGTTCCCTCTAAGCTGAGTTAGTGTGAGCTAGCGCACAGTTTTTTAGCTTCCAGCTCACATATTTTTGCCTTAGCTCAGAAAGGATGGCTCCAGAGCAAACTAATTTATGCAGTAGCCAAATTGCTCACTCACAATTTTAATGCCAGTAGCTCACAAAGTAGAATTTTTGCTCACAACACTGCACAGCTTAGAGGGAGCATTGGTAGGCCTTCCATCCACTCAGTAGCATTCTTCATGGAATATATGACAATATTTTACTATGGCCAAATGAGAGATAGTCAACTGACCTGTTCTTAGAGTTAAAAAACTGTTGGCAGTGGTACTGGAAGGTATTTTCATACCACATTTTGAGTATATATAACATGTATACTTTTTTGCCAATATAAGTGCACTGTTACATAGTACAATTTGCAAACATGCCATAAAATAAGGGAATTTTACTGTTGTACAAATATAATAGTAAAGAATCTCTTCATAAATGTTAATATATTTTATGATAATAATCAACTTCATCTACTTAAACTCAAAAGTTCTGTTGCAACTCCTCTATGCTGCTATAGGCATAACTTCATTTTAGATCTCTAAGTAATCCCATAGGCTTTCATTGGATTTGGAGACTGTCTCCCAGTCTACATCTCACTATAAAAATGTGAACTTTGGAGAGGGGAAAAAGAAAGGTTACAGGTTTTTAAGACTCTTGATGGTACTATTTTACATAGTTATAAATGTATTAAAAGTGTGCATGTTCTCTCAAATCTTGCAGAATTTGAGATTTGACATTCAGTGAAAGTTTTATGATCAGGATATAATGAGTATGTATTGTAGGCAAAGAAATTCGGACAGTGTGAAAACTAAGTGAATGAAACATTTCTTGATATGCTTGACTACCCTGAGGACAATACCGATGATGAACAAGAAGAACTGCCTTATGATGATGATCTGCAAAATGTATATCCACATAACTGTGATTCGCAAAATGTAAAAGATTTCACTTCTATAGAGAACACCTCTCAAAGTTTGTTCCCTTTGCCATCTCTACAAATTAGCAATAATTCAGAAGAACAATCAAACGGTCACACACAACTGCATCAAAGAACAAAGATACATCTACAATCATCTCCAAGGAATAATGGCACTGAAATTGCTATGGCAACAGAGAAGGAATTACCATCTGGGGATTTTAACTGTTCAGGGACCAATCCACATTTCTCCAACTCAAACATTTCAGATGTCCTTTTACGTTACTTTCCCAAGGAAGAATTATCAAGTTCATGCCAATTAATCGACTGTGAAACTATTCCAGAGATATCACTTACTGAAAGTTTTGATGAAACTATCCTAAATAAAATTAAAATGTCAGAAAATACAAGGATCTCTTCTCCCAAACAAAAAAGTCATCTTGGAGAGATACATAGAGAAGAAAAATGTGAATCAATTGATAAAAGTTGGGATTTGATAGTAGGAAAGCAATCTGTTGTAGATGAGAGAATGAATTTCAGTTGTGTGAGAAAAGACTGCAAAGAAGACAATCCACAATTGGTAACTCAAAAGGAAGATACAATGAATGAAGTGTTAAAGACAGAAGAAGAATACCAAGAAAAAAAATGTTTTCTGGAAATGTCTGGTTCTTCTCATAAATTCAGATATGGTCAACGTCAGGTTAATTATCAGCTTCCCGATTTCTCGAAGGTTGCTCCAAAGGTCAAAATACCTAAAGGAAATAATAAATGTACACCTGTGATAAAGAGAACCAAATCTTCTCCAAATTTGCTTGATAAATCAATAATTGTTAAAGACATTCTAGAAGAAATGAATTATTTGGATTGTGTTGCAATGAAGAAGCAAGAAGTGGAAATGAAAATTCCTGAATTTGACCAACAGCTAGAGGTAGATGTGATTTTGACTTGTGTGTACTACCAATAGTTGTTAAAATGCTAAGTGCAGTCCTGTGTCTTTTTACATAGCAGAAGCTGAGCCAGCCATTGATGTCTGTAGATACAGATTTCGAGTCACAGGCTGTAATGCTAGACTAACTAAAGTAATCAGTTTCAACCAGGCATGTCAAACATACGACCTGTGGGCTGGAACTGGCCTATCCAGGGCTCTTATTCGGCCTGTGAGCAACTGTGCATCAAGTCCCTGTATGTAGTAAGCTGTGCATTAAGTCCCTGTATGCTGTCCCAGTGCTAATGCATAGTGGGCGGTAGAAGTGGGAGGGTGGGCATCAGGGAGATACTGCGAGGAAATACTGTAGAAGTGTTAATGTTTTGAGCATGTTTGTATTTTGAGTAAAAAACGATATTGTTAATTGGGTTTGCCTGTGTCCTTTATAAAGTTTATATCTCTGGTACCTGGCAATACATTTGATGGCACACATGGCCTGGTCCAACAAAGTGACATTTATGTCAGATCCAGCCCTTGTAACAAATGAGTTTGACACCTCTGGTTTAAACATCAGTGGGTCCTTTCAGAATAGGTGGTTGAAGAATGCATACTACACATATGATGAAGAATCAATGAATAATCTTTAATATGGTATTATGCAGTACTAGGAATAAGTCCTGTTGTGGAAATAAATGAGCTCTAGAAAGAGGCTCTGGATGGGGGCCCTGGCCTTAGGCACTCAGCGTCAATTTGCTGTTGTGACCTCAGCAGGGTATAATGACAGTCCACTGTTTTCTCCAGGGGAACTGATCTCTGCCATCTGAAGAGCAGTTGTAATTCTGAGTGATCTCCAGACATCATGTAGAGATTGGCAACAATGGTTCCCCAGGAGGAAGTTGCTGGTTCAGAGGGTGAAGTCTGTGGCATTGTAGCTGTCTGAGGTCCCACCTCTCCTCAAACCCCACCCTCTCAGGCTCTATCCCACAAATCTCCAGGAATTTTCCAACCTGGAGGTGGCAATCCTATCTCCTTCCCAGCCAACCATCAGCCTACCTTTATCTGCCCTCTGACTTCAACTTTCCATCTCCTCCCCACTTGCAGCCTTTACCTAGGAAAAGTACATTCTTTCTCTGCAGTGGGGACCCAAGCAGGAGGGAAGCGACCTCAGCAGGGTATAATGACACAGAGTCCACCCTGCAAAGCAGCTGTTTTCTCCAGGGGAACCGACCTCTGCCATCTATAGAGCAGTTTTAATTCTGAGTGATCTCCAGCCCTCACCTGGAGATTGGCAGCAGTGGTTCTCCCGGACAAAATAACTGCTTTAGAGAGTGGACACCAGTACTCTTGAGTGGCAGTTGTTGGGCCAATGGCTCATAGAGTGCACAGTACAGCTAGTGGGAGAGCCGGAAAGTGCCAATTTGCTGGGCTTTTATGTGTTTGTGTGTGTGTGTACATGTGTGTGTATTATTAGAATAACAGGATTTGTGGTGTTTTGCTGCCTTCAGGCTTCTGCACATATTTATAATGCTTGCACACTTGCTGGAAATAGATATAGTACACTTACTGGGAAAACTTCTATCAGTCTCAGCTTTCCAAATATATCAAGAAAAATAGAAACATTGTTTTCACATATGATGGAATACGTATTTCCCTAGTAATACATCTGTGTATATGTGTGCAGGGAAAACATCTTGTGTTGAAGACACTCCTCAGTATAAAACTTAGGTTTTTGGCGCATAATATAAATTCTAGCTGGGTGCTTCTGTGCTTTTCTAAAGCCCAATCAGAAAATTTCTTTAAAATAAATGAGTCTGATTAATCAGATTCAAAGATTTCTATCCTAATTGTGCCTTAATCCAAGTCTGTGGCTAATGTTCAGAGAGCTACTTTAGGCATCCCCAAAAGTTTGCATGGTTTTTAAACTTTTTTTTCCTTTGACTAGCAGACACTTGAGCTATATCACAATTGGTTGGTGAAGTTCCCACAGTTTCCATGGCAAGTTGCCAATTTGACATGGAGGGAGAGGGAGAAGCATAAGGCAAAGCCCCCTTGAGCACATAAACATGTTTAGAACCTTGTTTGTTTAAATAATCAGGTGTTTTGTTGGTTCATTTGATTGTCTAAAGGTTATTTCAGAGAACCAAACTATTGGTTAAATTATTTGTACTATGATTTCAAGATTTGCACCATGATTTCAAAATTTTTATATAGAACTTGCATCTAGAAATTTGCTTACTTGTTTTGTAGTTTTATATGCTTTGCAGTTTTAACATTGATATTTGGTTCATTTAGTTGCATTTAGGACTTATAAGAAACAATTGTTTATTAAAGTTCTTGAAGATTTCTTAAATACCTAATTCAAATTAAAGGTTATATTCAGCTCTCTAGAGTTCCTTGAGTCTCACTTCCTGATTTGCTTCTTAGTCCAGCCTCCAAGATACCCTTTCCTCACACTTCCTTTCTGCCTAAAAAATATTTCCTCTCATTTCTCTGGCTCTTGTATATATTTTAGCACCACTTTCCAGTTCTCTGCCTTTCTTTTCCTTTTGTGTTAATTCATTGGCTAGGATCCACAGAAATTAGTTCTATGAATCATTGGTTTGGGGGAGGCAGATTGCTTTTAAAAGTGAGTGGGAGTTTCAAATGTAATTTGTGATAATGGCATCATGGTCAAAGTTACTCAAAGGAAAAAAATGAATGAAAGTGCTCTAAAAATAAAGAGTAAAGAAAAACAAAAACTTCCCATGTATTCGCCTAAGCCACTTCCAGTTTAGAGTTTCTTCTACCGACCCTAGCCTGAGTTTCTTCTACCGACCCTATTTGAACAATTAAAAACATTTAACATTATAAAATAATTCACTAAAAACAAACAATATGAGTACTTTCCTCAGATCTTTCAACCTGCCCATCATTCATCCCTCTGTGCCCCTCTCATGCCAGCAACATGCTGTCTCTCATAATCCTAGTCTCTCAGTAAATTTTTGCTAGCCAGCATTGTTTTCTACTTTTTTCCTCAAACCTGTGCAGTTTCACATAATTCTACTAAATACATATTTCTCCTGGACAGTTAGAATGAGAATATGTTCTGTGTAGTAGCTCAGCAAATGTTTGGGGGCTGTGAGGAGGATGTGGTTCAAAAACATTAGGCAGTTTTTAGCATTTTCTGTATATGATTATGATCATTTTATCTTTATTGTATCTATTAAAATAACAGTTGCTGACAAAGCAAGCTGAGGCTCAGAATCGTATTGATCATCAACGATTTAATGCTAAGGTAAATCTTCCAGTATATGAAATCAAATATTTTTATTAGAATACCCCTTTTTTGAAACCAGAAATGATCCTATTGAATCTATGGGAAACCCTCAAAGTTTCTAAACTAGAAAAAGATTTGATTATGACAGTGTTCACGGCAGCAAAGAACATAATAGTAACAAAGTGGAGAGAAGATGGTCCCCCCATGATTCAGCTCTGGTACACAAACTTGTGGGATTATTTTATTATAGAGAAAATCTCGGATGACATCCAAGGCTCAAAGTTGCAGGTCAATGAGTCATATGCAGTGAATAAATGGTCCCCGTTCCTGAAATGGAGACTCAAGCATAAAGGACCTTTAGACCCTGATATTTTAACTAATTTCAGCTTGGTAATGGCAGTTGAATGATTGATCTTTTTAAGGACTGCTTAATTGATGCAGCTTTGTTTGTTGTTGTTGTTTGTGTTATGTGTTAAGCCCATTGTTCATTTTAATGTTAATTGTACCTTCTGTTTCTTAATAAAAATTATATTAAAGGGGGGGAAAGTGAGGTATGAATTATACTAGGTACAGTGTATATAAAGTTCTCTGCTTTTACTGCTTGCTGAATACAGTGCTCTCTTAAAGTATGTGCATTGGAATACAGTGTTGTATGTTGGTTTAAATTTGTGGTTATACAAGCAGCATCTTATTCCTTGACCATCTATGAAAATGCCTAATAATATTTCTTAATTTGAGCACATTTTTATTTGTAACTACTAATACTGAAATATTGAGTAGGACAGGAAGAGAAAGGCAAGTGAATGGTTGTGGATATTGATTTTGTTCTTTCCAATGTATATTTTAACAGATGCTTCCTAGCCCAAATTCTTGCAGTCCTAAACTTGGCATTAAAGCAAGAAGTGGTGGAATAACTTCTGAAATGTCTACAGTTCCACCTGTTACAGTTCCTGTGAAGCCCATGCTTGGTTTCTCTCAAACTTCTGTTTCAGGTAACTCAAACTAGATATCCAAATAAAATATTATTGTTCTAGATTCTTGTTCTTGCGCACTATAGTCTTCTGTCTAATAAGGGGGAAATTGACACATATTCCAGTTCTATTTTATCCCTTTTTCATTCTGTTATATAGAACTACCATCTAGAAGAATGGTCTTGCCATTACCATCAGCCGGTGCATCAGCTGTGAGTCCTCCTCCTTTATTGCAAAAAGCAACAGAAGGAGAAATGTTCTCTCAGATGTTAAAGGAACAGACGGAAGAGCTGAAAACAAAAGTAATATGAAGTACTTCTGTCTTCAATAGCTATGTGCAAATCAGCATCCCTTTTAATGAAGCCTCTAAATTCTGCAATTAAATTAATTCCTTTTTCTTAAAGGTAGAAACGTTTTCCAAATATATGGCACAAGATGTGCTTCCCCTTGAAGAACGCCATCAGGTAAATGAATTTTGTGGAGGGAGGGAGAGAGAGAGAGAGATGAATTGATTGGAAGATTGTTCTGTTTGATGAAATTATATTGTATTGAATAATAAACTATTTTTATCATGTATAATGATCTCATCCTTCTGTAACTCCCACTTAACCAAAGCAATATGCCTGGAAATTACTGGTCTAGATAATTCAATATGCAAATGTTTCCACTGAATCTTAGAAATACTCAAATCAAAGACACACTGTTGGCTGGGACTCCTCTGTGTACATGAAGAGCTCCCTGAGCCACAAAATTCATTTTGTTCAGTTCAGAGGTGAACAGCTCCATTTATACATTCCTTTGTGTCATACTTTCTCCTCCACTGAAATGAATAGGTCAACCTGGATCCAGGAGCTCCATCTTTATAGAGAAAGTGAACATAGAGCTCTGAATTGGGCACTACTGTATTAAGTGTAATGTAAAAAGAAGGCAGGTAATTCAGTTAACTATAAAAGCTGTTTATCTGCTGATAAATGGAAAAATCAGAATTGACTTTAAGGAATGAGTTTCAATCCATCACATGCTGAGGTAGTCATCGCTTTGGCAGCATCTAAAATGTTGGGCCAGTTTTAAAAGTTTAATGTTATCTTGTATTGCATTGATATTGAAGGAGTTGCTGTAACATATGGTTAAAAAATCCCAGTGGGTAGCCATGTTACAGTGCAGAGTTACACTGCCTAAGACCATTTATTTTCAGTGGGATTTGATTGGAGTAACTCTGTATAGGATGCACAGTTGATTTGTAGCAACCAAACAATAAAAAATTGTGCCACCTTAATCAGTCTGGTAAATGTAGGAAACAATCCTAAGCAGGTCTACTTGGAAATAAGTGCCATGTTATATTTAAAGGGGCTTATCCCCAGGAAAGTGTTTGTAGCATTGCAGCTGTAGGGAGCAATTCTAAACAGTTCTACTCAGAATTCTACCCAAGTCTATTCAGTGGGAGATAATCTCAGGAAAGTGTTCTTAGGACTGCACTAGTAAGTGCTCTACAAATGAACAAGAGTAAGGAAAATGTATGTAGAAAGTTTTTAATTGACAAACATATCTATGCAAAATTTGAACATATGCACGGTAAGCATAGTGACTGCTCAAAACAGCATAGTACATGCTCGCTAGACTTGCTAGGATAATTTAAGAGCTGTAGTATGAGAGCCTATGATTAAGGATGATAATGAATAATAACATCATTTATTGTAAAATTATCAAATAATAGGAAACTCATATACTTTATTATATTTTGTCTGTAAAGATATTAAAACTTTTAAAAGAGTATCTCGACCAACTGGAATGGAATTATTTAGACACGAAAGAGAAACATTGTGCCTTACATCTCCAGTATTACAGGCACTCATCAACAGACATTGGAGAGTTTGATCCTGACAGGTCAGGTATTTATTTGTTTAATAATACAGCCGTTAGTAAATTTATATTTACAACATTCCAGTTAGAAAAATATTATAAAACACAACAAAAAGATATATAGTTTTTTGAAATATACTTTCAATCACTGATCTCTAAAAATACTTTGCAGTGTTTTGTCCTATGTAAATCTCTGAAGTAAAAGTGGCTTAAGGAACATAGCTAAGACCAAGGGTGTCAAACTCATTTGTTACGAGGGCCGGATCTGACATAAATTTCATTTTGTTGGGCTGGGCCATGTGTGCCATAAAACATAATGCCAGGTACCAGAGATATAAACTATATAAAGAACAGCAGCTGGTAAGCTCTGAGTTGGTGTATCCTAGCTGCAAGGCCCCATGGGCTGAAAGGGGGGTGCAAAGGAAAACCCACATAGGTGGACTGGAGAGGCAGCAGTGCAGTGCTGGGTAGATGCTCCCATGATGCTGGACTGTTGCAGACAAGGTTGTTCTGCTGCGCTGAAGCCACAATGGAGTGGCTCCACCGACTCCCCCCCAGCATTTCCTCCCTTGCATCAGTTGCTTGCGGGCTGCACAAGAGCCTTGGCATGGTCAGATCCGGCCCCCGGGTTTTGTTTTTTTACACCCCTGGCTAAGACTGTTTTCAGTATTGAAACTATTATTATGAATATAGAAGTACTTTAGTGTGCAGTGCCCTTTAAATGGGTAATTTATGGAACAACCTTGTATATGATAGTAATATAGTTAAATATAGATTTCCAAAATCCATTTCTGCCTCACAGCCTTTAGAATGTTTATCCCCTAACCCATGGTGGAACAATTCATTATGAGGTAAGGATGTTGTTCCCAATGTTAATGCAGGAGTTAGAAAGGTCACTTGCCAGGTTTTCTGCTCACCCCCCTGTCCCAACACACACAAATATGGTGTTTGGAACATGAATTCACTGAGGTAACACACAGATCTGGGATAAGTTGACAAGTCCTCTTTTCGATTAAAAATAGTTAAGTGGCAGGAAGCAGAGAGTAGGTATAAACAGACAATTTTCATAATGGAGGGAACTGAACAGTGGGGACCCACAAATAATGGTATTGGGACTGGTGCTAATTAATTTGTTAGCAAATTATTTGGAATTGTTGGGAGCAGCATAGTGGCCAAGTTTGTAGATGGCATTAAACTATTTAGGATGGTAAAACCCAGGGCAAATTTGAATAGCTACTGGAAGATTTTTCAAAATTGGGTGGGTGGGCAACAATGTGGCAAATGAAGTTCAAGTGGTGTAAGGTGATGCATACTGGAACATGAATTCTTATTTTAAATATATGCTGATGGAATAGGAACTGGCTGAGAGTGAGATTGAAAGCGATCTTGGGGGTGTCCGTTTTATGGCGACACGCAGGCAGATGCATCTCCCGGACGTCCCGGGGATGCAATCTGCACACCAGCGTGTAGGAGGGGGTGCGATGGGTCACGACCCACCTGGAGCCTTGGTAAAAGGCTCTTAGCCAGGGGGCTTTTGAGGGGCAACCTCTTCGCCGGCACGATGCCTGCCACTGAGTTTCCACATGGACGTAGCGTCGCTGACCGGGTCAAGCGTTGGAGATTGGGCGAAAAAACCGATGCCGAGTGTGGCCGGTTGGCCGGCAACGAACTGTGAGTCGGGTTGAAGCAAGCATGAAGAATTAAAAAGAAACCTGCCCCTCTAAATGAACGACGGAAAGCGAGTGGGGGAGGAGCCCCTCCCAAATGCAGAGATGAAACACAGAAACAAAGCGGGGGGAGCGGAAAAATAAGCATTTAAACCTGTTTTAAGAGACTTACCAGAGCGCAGATAAGCGTTTGGGCGAATATCAGAGACTTTAGCAACTTTCAGAAAAGTAAACAAATCCAAAAAGATGGCGGGGAAGAAACCGGATAAGGACAAACTGTTGAAAGCTAAACTAGTGGGCAGTCCTCGAACGGAAGAGATCACTGAGCTTTCCAGAATGTTGGCAGATTCCTTGCGCCCTCTGCTGGACGAGATGACTAATATTAAGCAACAATTGGTCAGAGCTTGGCTTCACAGCAGCTACAATTGACTCAATCTTTAAAAGCAACGAAGAAAATGATGGAGAAGGTGAAGGAAATGGACTCCAATACTAAAAAAGTTAAGAAAAAGGTGCAAAAGCTGGAAATGAAACAAGCTACGGAAGAGTCACAACTGCTACAGCTGCAAATGGAGAAAGCAAATTTGGTCCTACAGTTCCAAGGGGTCCTGGAAATTAAAGGAGAGAATCTGAAGCAACAGCTGAGTGAAGCAATAACCCCAATGACAGATGTGGTCTACAGCTCCTATTCCTTATACATCAAGAAAAATAATCTGCCTGGGGAAATAGTTGTCAGATTCTCGAAGAGACATGTGAGAGACTCTATTTTGAAAGCAACTACGGGAACACCCTTGAAAATTGGGGACAACAACATCAGGATTTTAAAAGACATCCCATTTGACATAAGACAGAAGAGAAAGAAATTTAAAGAACGAATCCTTTTTCTACAAATAAATGGCATCAGTTACAGATGGCTAATTCCAGAAGGAGTCACTTTCAAACTCCACGATAAAAAAGAAAAGATTGACTCTGTTCTTAAAGCACGATTTTCTGCTAAAACAGACGGGGGAACCAGCTGAGGACAAGAAGGAAGAAGAAGAAGAAAGCATATCTGAGGGCGAGTTAGGCTCGGTGTCTTCTGACGAGGACTCTCTGTATGAAAAGGGGGCAGCTGCCCCCAAAAGTCCATATAAATTGAGGATAAGAAAAGACAAGAATAAATAGTGGCTGAAGGACTCTGATTTGTGCCTGAAAATTCTGAAATAACTTTAGGATGCTCTGGGGATTTCTTTAAACAGTTAAATGGTGGCTAAAAGATAATTAACCTAGCATAACCGACTATGTTCAATGTATTATTAGCATTTTAGAATAACATTGAGATAAGCTGATGTATTGATCTCCTTCTCTTAGGTTTTTAGTTAGTAGTGGGTCTTTTTCCTTTTTCCTTAGATGTAGTTCCCCTTCCTATATTTTCAGTTATAGTTTGTAGTTTGTGAAAAAACCAATTAAAAACTCCCCTTAGGGACTTCCGGTTTATGGCGGCGCGTTAGCAGACTCACCTCCCGGACCTCCCAGGGGTGAAGCTGTGCTCCGGCCGAAGGAGAGTTTGCGCAGGCTCGCCACCCCCCCAGGGACCCGGCTGAAGGGGCCCTGGCCAGGGGACTTTTGAGAGGTCGCCTCTTTGCCAGCGCAATGCCGGGGAATTGAGGCACCTCTCCGTCCCAAAGGTTCTTCGTGCCGCAAGGCCGAATGGACACAAGTGACGCCGACCGGGGCAAGCGCAGGAGGTCGAGTGGCAGAAATGATCATTAAAAGAGGTCTGAGGACCAACTATGAA